GTTGGACTATACCGCGACGAAGATATGGCAGTTTGCAAAGCCACCCCGAAAGAAATCGAAAAAACCAACATAGAAGTCAGCAATGTATCTAAATCAAATGGCCTAAAGATGACAATCGATGCCAACAAAAAAATTGTTCACTTTCTTGACGTAACCTTCGACCGTGTTCTCTGATAAAGCACACTAAAATAAGCCAATCACAATCCTTGTTAGGATTGTTCAAATACTTTGATTGGCTAACGAGACAACAGCTGTCAATTACAAACTAAACTTCACTGAGCGAACCTTTCGATTTCGAGTGGCTTTCGAGAGAAGAACGATCCCTTCAAAGTTCGCTTTTTAAACTTGGAAAATATCATATTTTCCAAGTTGTAGTGATGATACGATTCCACTCCATCACTCCCTCACTCCCTCACTTCTTTACTGGGTCACTTCCTGTTAGACATTTGGAATCCCGTGGGAACTCCCATGTGAGAAGGTCAGGGATGCTCTTCGGAAAATTTGAATTTAACTCGTAAAGAAGACTAATGTGGGCGTTGCTCAAGCGTCATTAGACACCAAAAGATACCACTTAACACGGAATTAATAGGTTCGATCACTAGCACTAGCCACTGTTCAAGAAAGGATCCCGCACGCACTTGTAGACCCGACTCGCGTACTCGAGAGATCAGCGGAAATCAAGCCTGAAAACAGAAATTAAATGAGAGCATTTCCTCTATTATTATTTCCTCGAGTGCACCCTAAAGGATACTTTGACAACTTAAAATGGTGACCTTTCGTCATCAACACCGTAAGTGAGACCAGAATCCTTGATAGGAGTCCCTCCCGGGTTTCGAACATCAGCCGTCTAAGGCCGTTTTACAGTCGCTTGCAGCGTGTCAAGTTAGTTATTTTCGAGATGTAGAGGGTATAACGATTTTTTCATTGTAAGGAAAATAATTATGGTTCCTCCTTAATGATTCGATTCAGGGAAAGTCTTCGTGGTTTTTCCTTCGCAAACCTACGTGATATTGTGAGTTCGAAAGCAGTCGATATAAAGGAATGATTAAAGGCTCCAGACGATTTTTTTAACACAAGAAACGGAAAGACAAACGCTACCTTTCGGCAAATGATTTCTTGACAGAAAAAGAAAAAAAAAACAATGAAGAAGAAAAGGAAAAATAATCAGTAGTCACCAATTAATGTTTCGCATGGCGAGCCAGCGCTTATCACACTGACCTACTTGTACATAAGTTACCAGAGGACGAAGATACTGGTGATTTATTTACGTACCGCAGACTCGGGTGTTTGACTCACTCTATACCTCACTTTTGACCAAACAAAATTATCTTGACGTTTTTGACTACAGCACAGGGAAGACATGTACAGATACATGTAATATAAAGCGTAAAGGCAGGCCTGAGTAACAAACAGTTTCGTAACGTTGAACTTTTTCATTTTGCAAATATCACGACACACCCCTGAATGGAAAAAGGCTTTATGGGCTTGTTCGAAAGCTAGACTGCCCTCTCATCACAAGTAGTTCCTTAATAAGCAATGCCTCATAACACCCTTTCATAATTTTGTTTCCAAGTTCAGTGGCTCATAGCCACTGAACTTGGAGAAATTATCCATGAATAGCAATAATCAAGTTAACGTATTTTGGGTAGGCGCCGAAGGTTACCATAATAAATATGTTCAAGTGCTTATTCTATAAGATCACCAAATATTTGAATAATACTGGAATACAGGTCGTTAGTTCTTTACGTTTGGATGGGGCCTCTAATGATCTAATAAGGATCAGTGAAATAAGACCATGTACGAGCATTATAAACGAGAATGCGTTGAACATCTGTTTAATCGCCAACTTCAAAATACGTGCACGACAGGCAATGTTAGTGTTGGTTGTATCAACTTGTTGTACTTTTAGTGAAAAATTTTAATTCCACACGTTGGTCCTGCCTAACTTATACAACGACGAATGTATGTATCCTCTCGCTGGGCATGCAGGCAAGCCAGCACAACGTCTCTTTACTGCTTCTACGAGTTCATCAGGTGAAGTTTTACATTTCGTGTTTAAACTTCTTGTTGGTTAAGCCAAGGGACAATTCAATCGCAAAAAGCAATGCCTTTGGCCAACACTAGTTTAATATGCGATCTGTAGAAAAGTTCGCCCAAAAGAGGAGAAAAAGCAGTGAAAAATCATTAAGGTTTTTTGGCTGCCAAGACGCTAAATAAAAGGTTAAAAACGGTATTTTTTGGCGAAAGTTTGGTATTCAAAGGGTTGAGGTCTTTATACAAACTTTCGATGAACAATCACAAGATGTTGCACATTTGCGAATGTTTCGACTTGTCATTCGAAGTACTCACTTGCTGAAAATAATTCATAGCCTTAGAGGGATAACTGCAATCTCCATGATCGAGATGAGTAAGATTAGACCACCGAGTCGAAAACATTGCCTGACATGGTGGAGGTGAATTTACGTCCGATCTCTCCCGGACTTTGTATTTCACGCTTCCACTGAGGTACAACTTCTCTGTAGCACGATCGAATCATTTCATGATATTTTCGGTGTTTTAAGATCGGGCAAAAGACAAAGGCTGATGCCCTGAAAAAGCCAGCAAAGCGAATGATAGTACAGCCGAAACCTGGAGAGAGTAATTTTGCTTTCAGGAGGTTATTAGCCATTTTAACTGGCTTCTAGAAAGCATACCATGAGAATATGCGATCAGTGAGACTGAAATAGAAAACTATTCTGTATGGCAGTGTTGTCTGATAGTTATGCCTACTCTTACCTCACTTTCTGTAAATATTGTCAGTCAGGTCCTTCAGTGTGGTATCTTTCGTCGGTTGACTTGGCCACAAATGTGGTGCTCATTGGCTTGTGGGAGAATTAGGAGTTTCGTGACGTGCGTGACATTTTGTGTGTTAGAGTATCCTTCAGTTTCACCTGAATGCCTTAGCAATCACGGCCGGGATGTTCAAAGCCTGCTTTAGCTAACCCAGGATTAGCGAGAATTTGATTTCAGTTTTGTTACTTTTTGTGGTGAGGTGTTCTGTTTATATTGTTTGCCCTTCAGTTTTGAGCGGTAGTAATCTCAAACTACACCAAATATAAGAGGCGAAAAACATTTTTAAACAAGAAAAAAATAATACTTCAGTTAACGTTTAATCCTGGCTCAACGTTAACCGGCTTTCAAACCACCCGGCCTAGGAGTGAAGACGCAGGATTAAGTGAACAACGGCCAGTGTGGTGATACATCAGTCCTTTTGCCCGGAGTCTAGCTGTTCCGCTTTCCCTATATTCGTTGGTAAGCGAGTTGTACTGAGTTGCCAGTGGGTTTCGATTAATAATCCAAAACAGTGTCGTTCATTTCAACACGTGGGTCGTATTGTCCAAGAAGATTCATGTTGAACACATTCAGTTCCTTCTAAATTCCTGATATGACACACTACCCTGAAAGAAAAAATTTCGTTTGGTTGGCTTGTGAGTCCAAGCATAGAAATATCTGTCTGGGTGATATCACTGTAGCTCTTCGTGTTGTGATGAACTAAACTGAAAACTGTTACCTTTCTTTCTCTTGTCTCAGTGAACTTAGAAAGCGAGTCACCGAATCCCGCTCAAAGGTGTTAACTCTAAACGCGAGGAGCCATCTAAACCGAAGTCCTCTGCTTTGTGTAAAATTGTTCTCCAGATGGCATTTTAATGAGAATCGTTATCCAAATTTAAAGGTTTTAAGAGAACTACAGTGTTACGACGTAGAGCACTTTATACTGTACCCACATCAGATCCGCTTTGAAACAAGAGGAAGAGCAAACTCAGTTTTGGTAGACGAAGGCTTTAGATTGCTTAAACGTTCCGAACAAAATTGCCTCGTTGGAACCTACTAGATACAGTATTTGTTACTCAAAACTCTTAAGAAGTCGCAGAACCAATGCCAATTCAGTTCAAGCTATGGGTTATTTATTTATTTGAACGATTGGTCGAACAGTGTATGACCTGCTGTAACGTGACTTCAGGTGTCAATCGACATGCTTATTCGATCATAAAAAGATTTTCCTGGAAGCCATAATTCTGAGAAAACTGAATGCATAAATAGTTAGGCCTCCGAATTTGTTTTGCGTTTTTTTTTTTTATCTAGCTCGTAATTTGTTACTTAGAAGGCCTTAAGTTTTCTTGCTTTGCTATTTCGAGCCACCCTCTCTAATAAAGATTAAGCAATTATCACAATTCCAAAAGCTATGTTAACGTGTAACGCATAAAAAGGTTATTAGGAAAGATTTGTGCATGTTTCGGCAGGAACTGCCTAATTAATTCTGTGTCTAGCAGTACTGTTAATATGATAATTTCTTGGAAAGGTAAAGTTTGCTTTTCACATCGGAGCGAAGATTTCTTTGTGATATGGTGCTGAATGATCCTCGTTTCTCAGGGCCCGTACGCACTAGGCTGACAAGATTTGTTTGGCTCTGCCAAAACTCTCGACAAATTTTGTCTCCACCAAATTTTGAATTTGCTAATAGCGTATACGCAGTTGAAAACACGACTGACCGTAATTTGACTCAGGTAGAGAATCGTAGTCAGGAACCGATGAGGCTTCTCTGATGCGGAACGAAATAGATTCAAAGTAGTGCAAAGGCGTCCCAGTGTACATGCGACGTCAGCAATGGAGGTGTTCCACGAAAATAATATATTTCGTGATATGCTCTAAATCGCAAGAAAGCGAGGTGAGCAAAGCTTTGTTCCAACCAGACCTTACCTTCATATCGCTTAGTACTGTTTAACGTTCAATGTTCTGTTTTTCCGTTCTTTTCTTTCCTAGAAAACAGAATATTGATCCGGTTGTCTCCGTTGTTTATGTGATGACGTTTGTTGTGAATTGAAGTAAGAGGGGAAAAAGTTCAGTTGACCTTGACCAAACGATGCTGAAATTTCTTGTTTATGCGATTGGCTCAGGTTTAGTTACCATGGCAATCACTTAGTGCTTCTTGTTGTTTAATTTTTTCCACGAAAGTTTTAACAATGAAATCACTTTCTGAGAAACCAAGTTCTATCGGTTTTGGTTGTATTGCTAAGCCTTCTGAATTTTTCAACATGTAGTCGTTGTAACTGTTCGTATATACATTTTTACAAAACACAGGTCTGTTAAAGACAAATTATCTATGGATCACGCGACAGAGGCAGTCGAAACTATTCTGGTTTGTGCTATTGTGCGGATATTATGTGGCTTGTATTTGTAGCTAAAATAACACGCGCTCTCATGGGCTAATTCAAGAGCATTATTCTCCCGTAATGCCTACGGGCTGATTCCGGGCCTGTAAAACTAAAGCAAAAAACCATATGATAAACAACTTATTAAACTGGAGCGTTGGGTCTTTACAGGAAAATTTGAAATCTCGGCCTTGTTCTACATTCCTCCTATTCCGAATGTTAGAAAATAGCCCAAAGAATATATATGCGCTGATTGGTTTAAAATCGTGTTTCTATTAAGCAATATCACGCATAGAAATCGAGAGCGAATAATCTAGTTGTTTTATTATAAACCTACTAGTCGTTCAAAACTTTATCTAAATCCTTTTCACGGTGACACTTCGAAAACGTAAAGCGGCCGCCAGTCAGCACACTGCTACGCTACTCAGTCACTATCTACAACAGAATAGATAGTTAGCAGCGTAGCCAATCAGCGAACGGCATTCGTGGTAGAACGCTAGTAGATTTATATTGAAACTCGATAGAAACATAGCCTGCTTCGCAGACAGTCTCAACCGCCGGTATAGTCTGTCTGCGCAACGGCTCCCAAAAGCTTGTTCTGATATCCCGCAGTTTTACACGGATATCTATATCCATTTCTGATTGGTTAGTTTCTAATGCGCTTTGTGATAGAATCAATTCGTGCGAAATTGATCGCGTAACCATACGCAAAGCTAAAAACAAATTTGTTTTGGGATTGCGTATGTACGTTATTGTAACATCAAGACTACTTTGAGTTGGAAATAAGATATCTGTGATTACAGAAGAAAAAGCGTTCAAGGCCGTGAAAGAGCAGTTTGAAATTGGTGATCTTGTACCTGAACAGGAAAACTCACTTCGCGAATTTTTTGAAGGTCAAAATATCTCTGAGTGGACTGTTACGTCATCATCTTCGCACAATCTCCGTGTTGTTATCATCTACCGTCCGCCATACTCTGATGAACATAAAGTGTCAGCCAATGTTTTCTTCACCGAGTTTTCGACTTATCTTGAATCCATTCTTCTGTCTAAGGAACAGCTACTGATTACCGGTGACTTAAACATCCATATTGATGCTGTTGATGATCCTGACTCTCTCAAACTGTTGGATCTCTTGGAGTCTGTTGGTCTACGGCCACACGTCTCCCAGCCAACTCATGTTCATGGACACACACTAGATCTTATTATCACCCGATGGTCTGACCAAATCATCCAGGATTCACCACAAACTGATCGTTTCATATCAGACCATGCATCACTTCTTTGCAAGCTACTTCAAGATAAACCAGCTGTGACAACTAAGAAGGTCACTTACAGGAGGCTCAAATCAGTGGACCTGGATTCACTCAAAGCTGACTTAGCTGCCTCTGGATTGTGCCAAGAACAATCCGATGAGTTAACTAATGTCACCCCGGATGGAGTTGATGCGCTTTTACGTAACTATAACAAAACTCTGTCCAGA